TACTTTGATTAAAATGTTCATCCACGATTAACGTGCTTTTTAAAAAATAGTTATAAAAACAAAACACAATATATATTTTTTTAAAGAAAATGATTAATATTTCTTTTATTTAGTTCATATGCTAGACTCGTCCAAAAAAATATTTGATTTAGTCGGGTAGTTAAAGAAAGATGTGCTTCAATTCCAAATAATAGTTGGGTTTTCTATTCATATCTGATATCTGGCCTGTTTTATGTTTTTTGTTTTCCAATAAAGATATTAAATTTAATAATGAACACAAGTAATCAAGTAGTGGCTAGAATATGCATGAGTAATTGATATTCCTTCTCGACTGTCATAAGCAGAGATCAGGCCATATATTCTTTTTACCTGGCTTTCTTGGGTTACTGTTATGGGTGGCAATTATGTCCATTTCTAATGGGTACCCATTAGAACTCAATATTTATTGATAAAGAAAATAATCAAATTACCCGTCCATTGATAGACTGACCTCTAAGTAGGTAGGGTTGAATTTAGGCGTGATTAAATACACGGATTATTGAGATCCAATAGAATTATATTCATATTGAATTTGCTTCTTCTTGCATCTTACTTTTTTCTATCTTTTTTTTTTACTAAAACTAAAACTCATACATGTCACTAGAAGGAATATGCAACAAATCGTAAAAGTTCGCCTCCTTAAAATGATACACGTTTTTCATCTGTTGATTTTTTACTACTTACCAACTACATTTTGTTATATTCTTCTACTATTTTTTCCCGCTTAAAATCACAAAATAATTTTTACCATTAAGCATGTAATTTACATCCGAAATAATAATCTTGCATTAAATTTCACTCATTTTAATTAAATTTAGTGGTTAAATTTTAAGATTTGGAATTTGGAATTCGGTTTATGTAATCATCTGAAAAAGTAAAAAAAAAAAAATCGATAAATAATGGTGATAACTTATCAAATTTCCTTCTAATTTATGATGTGATCATTTCTACTATGCGTGGCGTCATGCCCCAACTTAGGACCTAGTTGACACGGCACAAGTACAACAATGAACATTGTCAGTTGTCATACAAGTAAGACAACTTACATTCCTTTTTTTTTAATTTTATTTTTCATTTCAAATGTTTGAAATTTGAGTCATACTAAAAATGATTACATCATAAGTATCTTAATCACTATTAAATCTCATAGCCATTCCTTCGTCTCTTCGACATAGTGACAACGTCTATCATTCTTCCCCAACTTCCTCTCATAGCAATCATCATCACTGTCACTCAAAATATCTATCAGGGGGGGCACCACATGCAAGTTCAAATACTCACATTAACTTAAAAATATTTCGCAGAATCATGATCATTTCAAAACATTTCGTAGCACACTTTCATATAGAAAATAACACTTCGGTTCGTAAAACTTTCATTTTCATAAATATTCCACTTCACTTTAATATCTTTCACAAAGTGAAATAATTTATTCACATAAATATCTATTTTCACAAAACTATTCACATTGTCAACATGAGGTATAACTTATAAAACATCAAAAGTCCACATAAACTTTCACTTTTGCAAAATTGAGACAATTATAACATCATACGTTCCCACAAACGTCTATTTTTGTGAAATTGAGACACTCATAGCTTATGAAACATTAGACGTCCCTATAAACGTCCACTTTGGTGAAATTGACACATTCATAACATCAGACATTCCCATGAACGTCCGCTTTTGTGAAATTGAGACATAGCAATATAGTTCATGATAACCTGTGCACAGTTCTGAATATAAGCCCTCTGAAATTAGGGATACTTCTAACTTAAGGCTACTCTTGCCTCTCGTTATCTTTTGACTTGGGTTTTTCAACATTTTTCGTCCACTTTTACATTTACTCATGGATTTGGGCTTTCCAACTTTTTCATCCACTTTCACACTTACTTGGGGATTTGGGCTTTTTCATCCCCCTTTCACTTTTGTGATCACTACCATAATATCGTACGTGCATATAGTATCAATCTCAAAACTTTATCCATAATCATAACCATACTTCAGTTACAAAACATTCTTCATAAGTCATAAAACATTTTCACATTTCAAACATAATAAATGATTTAGTTCAAATGATTTAAAACAGATATGTAGGTCGTAGCGAGGAAACGCACGCCATGCATACTATATGAATTATTTAGTTCACATAAGCACGTAAACGAGCATAAACATCGTGCAAGTGAATACATCTTTATTTGAGCAATTTCCATCATCGTGAAACTAAAAATATTTTCTCTTCACCTATCATTAGACATACATCTTCTTTAACATGAATACGACAAACCTCTGAACTCCTACTAAACATTTACTAGTGCATCGTACTCTTATTGTTCATAATCCCCACCTAACTTAGCTCATTCTTATTTTCAATTTATATACTTTTGTGCTGAAATAAATACGTTACCATGCATCAAAGTATATAAATACTCAAATATTTAGAGTATTTGAAGATGTATCACAAATCTACGAAATCCTATGTTTCAGAAAACTTGATTGAAAAATATGAATTTATCTTCAAAATTGTGAGAATATTAACTTTTGATACCTTTTCTTAGTAAAACTTTCACTACTACGTCAATCTAAACCACAATATTTGAAAAATATTACATTTCAATCTCTTATAGTAGCACACTATAAATCGCTTTAAAAAAATCCCCATGAAAGATTCGAGGGATCACAAAAGGTCCCACTTAAAATACAATCTCCTTAATTAGACATAATATCTCTTAGTGATTTATTAGTACATACCACATACCACTTTCACACCAAAAATTATCCCCATAAAAGATTGGAGGGGTCACAAACGGTTCCACTAATAATCTAACCTCCTTAGATAGGAAATCTCTTAGTGATCTATTAGTATATAGTTAAAACTTTTTTTTTTTTTTTGCATAGAAAAGAAGGCTAAAGCTTGAAAATGACTAAGTCACTACAATCCTAGGGTATTATAACCCAATAATGTCAAAAAAAATTATACTACTAGTATGAAAACATGCATAGTATTACTTTTGGAAGAAAGTATATTACTACTATATACTATGATATAAAGAACTACTTCCTAATTCCATACATTAAAAATCATAGATTACAAGCAAAATACTAAATAAAAGAAATGTAACTCCTAACATTATTTTTCTAATAACAAAGTAACACAAAAATTCTAATTAAAAGGGAGACTCAAAAGTTACCTCGTAGACGACCCTTAAGACTTTAAGAGTTTTTTCCCAAGTTACCTTGAACTTCCTAGAAAACTTTTAAACTTCAACTTCGGAGTAGTCTTTCACGTGGAAGTGTCTACTTCCCTTAATTGATTTTGGTGTGCACAAATACCATGTGAAGCCTTCTATTTATAGGGGAGAGTTTGGGGGTAAACATCTCTTCTTTATTAAGAGGGTCACTACTGTTCACGGCCTTTTCTATTTCTAGTTGCCTCTTATTATTTTATTATTTTATAGATGTTTTCTACTATTCACATTTGTCCTTTCATTAATTTAAAATTATTTCACTATTCATGGGTGGCTTTTGCACCTTCCATCTTATTTTATTAATTTGTTGCTATTTAAAGTTGTTCTTTACTATTTAAGGTTGCCCCTTACTTTCTATTTTACAACTTATTTTATTATTCATGACTTCTACTTTTCCTACTATCTATTATATTCTATTAATTTTCTGCTATTCATTGAAGGGGTTTCTAATTTCCTAATTACTATTTTCATTGATATTGGATTTTCATTTCTAACTTTATACACAACAACTTTAAAATTTTAAATTTCTTGGAGCAATTAAGCACTTGAAATTATCCGGATATTACATCCATCCCTCCTTAAAAAAAGTTTTGTCCTCGAAACTTAACTAGTGCTCTCTTCAAATTGGTAACATTATTCTAGTTAGGACTTTGTCCTCTAATTCCCATGTGACTTCTCTTGTATGATCGTTTACTTAAAATATTGCTCTATTTCTCAATACTCGTTTCTCTCAATTAGCAATTTGGTATTATTGTTTTTCCACTGTTCAAATCTCTTTATCTATAATAGAACTTTACTAAGATCACTAGTACACTATACTTTCAAAGATTTAATTCCTTATACTTTTGGTGTTGCCTCTTAAATCCTTGTTGTCTTAACCAAATTGTTTTGTAGAGTATTTCCAAAATTTAAGTTAGTCTTTGAATAGTGAAAGAATCTGGACCCTATATTCCTCTTTGAGTTGTAGCTCGAGTGTAAGTTTGGTAAACCCCTCTTTGAATCTCCACACTAAAAATAAAAAGAAAAACTTGTTTCTTGTATTTCTATGACACTATCCAATTAATCATTCACGATGTCTTTTGGGTAATATTTTAGGTTTTCCTTAATGCAGTGGACTCCTCTAAATCTAATTTTCCTTTACCTTGAGATCAAAGATATCTACTCTTGCTTGCAGACATTATCTCATAATAATATTTAATATCCATTCCATTCAAAGAATTACCTTAAACATCAAATTCATACATTATAAACTAAGAAGGCTTCCTTTCAAACCCTACCTCTTAGCATTTATTCCATATATCATGTTTTTCAAGGTGGTCTTCTTAAGGGTACGTGTTTTCATCTTCAAGATTTGTATTGAACATCGGGACATTTCTTGGGCATAACACTATAGAAAGAAACAAAATACATGACCAAATTGATAACAATTTGCACCTTAAATATTTTGCGATTCCTAATGAGTAGTCATCTTCACAAGACAAAATTGCAAATAACCAAGTTTATTATGAAGGCGTTAATAGCAAAGAAAGAAAACCAGAACCCAATTGGCTCGCCCAAAGGAGGATGGCAAATAACTTTTACAACGTGGCCAACCAGAATATGAATTAGGCCAAAATTAATGAACACAAATCAGTCCAATCTATCAAACAATTGTCCAAAAGCAAAGCAGTAATAACAAGAACCTTTCTCGAAGTGCTAATTCAGGTAAAACGTGTTCGGTGACCGAGATCAGCAGCAGAGCCGGAATCAAGAGGCAGAACAGTAGCTTGGAACCAAATGCTACAATCAAACTGTGATATCGGATGTTCACCTATGGGAAAAGTCTTAACACCATTTGAAGCCTAATATAATATCAGGTGTCCTTTCAATAAGAGGAAATAGACGTTTTAAAAATGTACTCGTCATTTTAAACTAAAACGGTATAATAAGGTTAACTAGTTTTGTAAAACGAGAGACTATATTAAAAAAAAAATAATAATAAAATTAGTCACCATCCTCACTCTCATATTGTTGAAACAATGATTGCAAACCAGCAGATCCAGAGGTTGATCCTTCTACCGTCTCTCCTTTAACTTTAACTCCAGAAGATTCTTTCTTCTTAACAGAAACCCTCACGGCCGGCGACCTAAAAATAATATTTTTCCCGTTTGATGAGCCAGCTGAAACATCCACTTTATCTTTGCCTAGTGGGTTGCTTACAGTTTGTTCATGGTCCAGTTTTGTCCTCTTTGACCTAAAATCATATCCATCATCATCATCAGCGATGTCTTCATCATTAATCCTTCGGACAATTAATCCATGGTTTGATGTTCTGTTAAATATGGATCTCACTAGAGCTTCATCTTCTTCACTCAACTCTTTTTCTATCTCTTCCTGCGACCGCCGCGAGCTTTGCAAATCATCTAGCATATCCGCCACATTTAGAGTTGCTTGCCTTGACTTCATAGATTTTATTTCAGCCAAAGCAGCATCCATATCCAATTGTCGTTTTGATTCTAAAGTTCGATTCTCCAAAGATTTCATCGAATCTCCCATTTCTTCAGCCTCCCTTTTCCGCTTCTCTTTGTCTTCTTCCTCATCATCCGCACGCCAGGGTTCGAAATTCCTTTTCGCGCCCGATTCAACGACATAATCTGAGTTTTTTGGGTCGGTCTTAATCGTAATCTCTGCTGAGCAATTGTTACACTTGAAATAGAGACGGAATATTTGAATACAATCCAAATACCTCTCTTTTGCCACATCTTCTTTCCTGATATTGAACTTTGTACCTTTAGACATGTAATTTCCGCAAGTTGCGCACCGGATACTCATTGGAAGCATCATCCGGACTGTCATCTGCAGAGGTTTGCTCCGTCGCCGAACCTTCGACGGATCAAAGTCCGGCGGGTAGTATTTGTTCAGTACTTTTCGTTCTCCCATGTTTTCCTCTTTATCTCAAGCACAATTCAAACCCTAATTTGCTGGAAATAATCGCTTTCTAAGGAAAAAGAATATATTTATTTGTGCTGCGGGAGCTCTATTTATAGGGTTCTTTTTACGCTTTTCTTTCTAACACGTAACAGGAAAATTTAAGGAAACAAAGTCCTAATCAAAATCGAAAATCTAGTATTACATAACAATTAGGAAACTACCAAATTTAAGTTTGATTTATTTTGGTTTATTAAAAGAAAAACTTCAGATCATGAGATCAATACATTATTACATATGTTTCCATTTTCGTTTAGATTGGTTTATTTTCTTAAAAGGAGGAAAAACATCAAATAATAAAATCAATACATTACATAGGCCTGTAAGTCATATCATTGTCACTTATATCATGTTCTAACTACGATTTTAATTGGTTATCTTGCGTATGAAATCCTCCAACGCTAGTTGAAGTAAGAGATCTGTGCAAAATTTGATTAAGGGAATATAAATCCCACATCATATTGTGGTGTATACTAGTAGTAAAGATTGACCTTCTGGTTTCCTTCATTTCTTTTGTTTAACTTTTGAGCATGCAGTTAGTTTAAGAGTTTTTTTTTTTTTTTTATATATTTTTTCCTTCCCCCATTAAAAGCGGTTCCTAATCCCTAGCACATTATGGCACCACAAGAAAAATATAAGTTACCGGAAAAATATCACGATTCATCCTAGAAACGACGGCCAAAAAGGAGTTGTCTAACTGTTCTACTCAAATCTCCTGAGAAGTTGATCATAATGCTAGCTGTAACTATAGCGTCTTGCTGGATTATGCTCGTAGATGTTCTCAGCATTAAACTTGATCTGATTCACAAAAGTAGAGCTCAAAATTTAAAAGACCGAAAGTAGCAAAATATGCAAATTCAGAGCAACGTTCATCCAAGGTCCGGTTAGTTTCCTAAACCGACACGAACTTGAATTGAGTATAATAAAACTTAAAATAAGTCGATACTTTTAGGCAATACAAAATTTGGCATTCAAATTTAAATTGTTAATTAAATCAAGAGTGGTTACTCGCTGGAATAGCTCAATTGTTTAGAGCATGTGACTAGTAATCACAAGGTTGGAGGTTCAAGTCCTCCTTTTAGCACTATACCTTTTTTTTTTCCTATTAATTTAATTTCCTTCTATATATTAAGAATTTGGATTAATTGAAAACAATAAGAATACGGTTAATATTGGCCAATTTTCAGTAAGTCAGTGATCATGTGTGTTGGTATGCTCGTAAATTGTCAACTATCTTGTTTTTTATACAACTCGTAAAAATCAATGTCCACTATTTTTCAATTATAATACTTTAATTGAAAAATAGTGGACATTGATATATATATATATATATATACATATATATATATATATAGTTGTTGCAGCGTATCTTCCAAGAAACTGCAAGAACTGCAGTTTTCTGGTTATCTTTGCAGCAACAGATCATACCTTTTTGTTAGGTTGACTGGGATTTTTATAGCAAGCCAATCATATGATACAGAACTTTGAGAGTTTAAGGATTGTATCTCCCCATCTCTTAGTACATGATGATTACAAAAACATTCTCACCACGCTAGTTTCCATTACTAAAACCATTTTGTTTTTTTCTTGTATTCACATATTTCATTCATAGATCAACACCGCAACAACCACATAAGGGTGCCAATATATATGGACAAAACACACATTCCATTTACTAAGGGAAAGCTATTCGGACTGGTTTAACATTTCATTAAGCATACCCTTTTCAGCAAGTGCTTCGATAAGTACGGGGACAAGCTTGGAAAGCATGATCTTGAAGCCCGTGGAGCTTCCGGTTCTCATGTCTTGATCAGTTTTCGCATTCCCTAGGATCGCGCCTATATATATCATTATTCATTAACACAGAATTTTGACCATTGGTTAAAAATAAAATAAAATGAAATATGTATGGTGAAATATTTTTAATTTAACTAGAAAATAAACACCATGTGAAGCTTTCCCATTTAAATAGACCAGTAACCATGAAATTTTAATGTGAACAGTCCACACCAATATCCCCCAATTCGATTCCTTATAAAAATTATTATTGCGACGAATATCATTAACCCTTTTTTTCTTAGTTAAATCGGCAATTAATTCTTCGCGGGTAAATGTAGATCACCAAGCTTAATTCATAACAGGAAGCTAGGGTCGGCCAGTTTCCTATTTAGAACCTCAATTTAGTATAACTCAAACTAAAATAACTTCATATTTTCTTTAGGTAACCAAACTTTGGCACCCAAATTTAAATTGTAAATTTCTATCTAGGATGAATAGCAGGTGGAATAGCTCAATTGGATAGAGCATGTGAATAGTAATCACAAGGTTGGAGGTTCAAATCCTCCTTTCAGCATTGTTGTTTCTTTTTTTCTATTTAATTAATTTCCTTATGTATTAACAATAGGAATTGACAATAATAATAACTTATATTTCAGTAACTTGACGACGGAATGGTCATGGATCTGCAAATTTTCTATGAAGAGTTAGTACAAAAATAAATTAGAAACGTTAGAGAAATTCACTAGTCTGATGATATGCAAGTCCACAACCCTTTCATTATATATCAGAAATTCTTAATCGATGACCTATTTCATTCATTTAAAATCAATCTGAATAATTTTTTATTTTTAAAGGCAAAATGTTTTCAACTAATTAATACTTCTGGAAGCACTGTGCAGGTGTCACTATTCATGATTACAAGCACCAAAAATGTTCTCATTCAAAACCAGTACTGAGTCCAAGTAGCGCGATTCTCTTCTTACAATATCATCAAATTCTTAAAAGAGAAATCAAACAATTTAATCACGCAGGCTGAGCAACCTCCTTTCTTGAGACTTCAAAACATTATGATTTCTGGAAGAAATCATAATCACGCAGGCTGAGCAACCTCCTTTTTACTTTTTGGTGAATTATTCAAGTAGTATCAATAGTAATTTCTTAAGAACTTCCATCAGCCTGAAATAAGCCATGGTTTCAGTCTCACCTAACCGTAGCAAAAAATGGTGGACAAAGATTGAAAATTTAGACAAGAATTCATCATGAGCTGTTATTTACTGTTTATCGCTTGACTTGAATAACATTTAACTGTCGATGCGTCTCGCTTGAGCTCTATGATATATTCTTTTAAAGAATTATTTACTCCCTCCGTCCCGAACCGCAACCAAGATTCACCTCCGGCAGCGGTCGCGTTTGAAGCCGAAGTACACATGAAGTATTCCATTCCTTGTTCACTTCCCAAAAAAGTGGTAACCAAATGGATTTTGCCAATTATATCTCAGAAACTTACAATGTTTTTATATGGTGGTTCTGCATGTTTCTGTGCTGTTCTGATTGTAAGGGTTTCACTCAGAACCAGTATGAACTGCTTCCATGGCTTCCATTGTTGTCAAATCCTTCTTCTCGACCTTATCCTGATAATAATAAGGTGCTAATCCAAAAACACCAACTATACGATTGATCAACGAAGCCAAACCGAATTACCTAAACCAACTAGGACTTTAATTTATTACACCAAAGACTAAAAGAAATTTTGGCAACAAAATTGGCATTCAACTTTAAATTGTAAACTTAAACTTAGAATGGTTAATAGCTGGAATAGCTCAATTGGATAGAGCGTGTGACTTAATTTTAATCACATGGTTGGGGGTTCAAGTCCCCCTTCCAGCATTGTTGCCCTTTTTTATACTCGGCACTCTAGCGCCGAGGGATTTATCTTCGAAAGCTAGATACCGCCGAATGGGCCAACAACGCTTTATTTATGTACACATGAAACTAATTCAATTCAATTATATAATAAGGGAAACAAATGGAACGCCGAAAGGAGGACTTGAAACCTCCAACCTTGTGATTAACAGTCACACGCTCTATCCAATTGAGCTATTTCAGCTATTGATTATTCTAGGTTTAATTAGTAATTTAAAGTTAAATGCCAATTTTTGTAACCTGAAAAGTATCCAGTTATTTTAATTTGCATGGTACTTAATTAATCCAACTCCTAGTTGGTTTAAGAAACTAGCCAGAAGGTTAAGCATATCGTGGTTTCCTTCTTGTGATTTACGCGTGAATCGGTGATCATATGTTTAATATATGGCAGACCTTAATATATATTCCCTCCAGTTCTTAATATATGATATTTTAATTTGTCCTGGGTTTAATCTAGTACACATTTTATAATCGAAGAAAAAATCTTAAAATATTTCATAAATCAAGAGAATACAACGAATGTGAAAATATATTTTTAAGATTTTTTTGTCAATTAAAAATGTGTATTAGGTGAAATTTAGTAAAAGTAAAAATGCCTTATAATAAGGACCAGAGAGAGTACTTGAGAATCGGATTTCAGATTCTTCTTATGGGTTGGAAAAGGGAATATGGAATTTCCAATAAATTATTATAAAAAAGGAAAAAAATTTTTTTTTAGAGAGTTGTGTTACATATACTGAATTTAAAGATTTTTTTACCATAAACAATTCTTCATTTTTGTTAGGCTTGATATTGTTGTGGCGGAAAGAGTATAAACACAACAAACCAGCGGAAACGATTCCCAAGAAAAACTCCTTTCCTACTACCAATAAAATAGGACAACCAACCAAACAAGCAACTAATTCAAGAACTGATAAAGTAAAGTAGACACACAAATTTACGTGGAAACTAAAATCGGAAAAAACCACGGGACTTTAACAACAGCCAAATCTCCACTGTCACAATAATGGGAAAACAGTCTTCACCAACCGGTGGATACACAGGACTTCACCCAAAGGTGGATTACAACAATATTCTTCCAAAACACCTATCACAAAGTAGGACTGGAAGGATCTAACCAAAAGAGAGTTAAACTGAAAACTAAATACCTTTCTTTCTTTTTCTCTCGCGCACAAAGCTTTGCACGGCTGCCCAATTTTTCACCTTCTCTCTCGGTTGAAAGCACATGCACAAAAGCCTAGTGCTGCCTTGCTTTTATAAGCAAGAAAATACATGTCCAAACCCAAACCCAAGTTGTAATGGGTTTTTGGATGTTCTCGGTCAAACCAAAAAACCAAAGCCAATTAGCTTATTGTTTTAAGCAATGTTGGACCCAGCTGAGGGGAACCAGCCCAACAGATATTACTTATCATTTTAACTAATGGTGACTTTAATAAGTTATAATCATTTCCAGGAACGGAAATTTTTCACTATCATTAATATGAACTTGTTTTTAAAACATTAATTCTTGGAAAACTACTTAAAATTTGTCACTAAAAATTTTTTGTCAGAACTTCTCCATTACAAGATGAAGCAAAGTTGGAGTTCTGGTTTTGTTCATTTAAACAAGTGTCCGATTAATTAATTGAAAAAAACAAAAGAGGAAAAAACCTTAGCCGAGGCGATTTAGTGGGCTGTGGAGATAAGAGAATGTCGGCGGTTATGGGTCATCTGAGAGCTTGATGTGCCTATTGCCAGGAATGCTGCCGCCTTTGGTTCTTCCATACCACTTCTAATTAATTTTTTTAAAGGGAAATATACATTTTTAAAAAACGGTCAACCAGGGAGGAGGATTCAGACAATAATAAATTAATATGGCAATTTAGACCGGTTGACTAGAATAGAAAAGCATGCTTTGAATAATATTGAAACTTATGTTCTAATAATAGGAAAGTGATAAATAATTCGGTGGCCACCTTTTGCCTTCCTCAACTCGCTACTGCTGACTTGATGACTAGTCTAATTGCTGTTCCATATGGTAAAGTTAAACAACTCAAAGGAACTTACTAACAGAATTAATGATAACTGATAAAGACCTTAAACTCCAAGGAACTCAACACAATTAAAACTAAGATTTCTTGTTCAATCTATGGTTTGTATGTTAATTCACAAATCATCGCTCGGTGGACACTTGTAATCACCTCTGTACTTAATTATAACCCGCTCCGAAAAAAATAATATTATATTACTTTAATCATAAGGTAAAATCAGTTAGTTACTAAGCGCGATGCTATTATATCCAATATATACAGTTGTTAAATATATATATATATATATATATTTATACATATATATATGTATAAACAGTGTCATAAACAATATGACACAACGAAAGATGCCTTTGAAAATTGAAAAAGGAAACCAGACGTTTGTAAACAAACCAATGAGCATAAAAAATTGGTCGGCGCAAATCCATTGAGTGTGTGTAAAACTTTTTCTAGTTAATTTCCCGCGACTCACGTTAATTGCGTAGAATATCTGTTATTCGGTTCCAGTCTTAACTCTCAAGAAACTACTACGTATCTTCTTTCGCGAATGTTCCAACAGTTATTTATTTTGCCTATAAATTACATGCAGCCTTAGTGACTCTAATTTCACACACAAACACACACATAACAATACCTACTAGCTAGTTCAGAGTTCACAGAATTATACTTTAATATAGGAAAATGGGAGTTGTGATAATCGACGGTTCAACGATTCGTGACTTCGTGAGCAACGAAGTCGAATTCAACAAGAGCGCCGATGAGAGGTTTGCCGCCTTCGACCTGGATCACGACGGCGTTTTGTCGAGGTGGGAGCTGCGCAAGGCATTGGAATCATTCCGGCTGCTCGAAACCCATTTCGGAGTAGACGTGGCAACTCCGCCGGAGGAAGTGGCGGAGCTTTATGACTCGATATTCGAGAAGTTTGACGGGGATCACAACGGGGAAGTTGACCTTGCGGAGTTCAGAGAGGAGATGAAGATGATTGCGTTGGCCATAGCTGATGGTATCGGCTCCAGCCCGATCCAAATGGCTCTTGAAGATGATGATTGCAGCTTCCTTAAGCTCGCTGTTGATCTTGAGGCTTCCAAGGTTTCCGCTGCCTAATCTATTATTGGCCGAGAATCTTTGGTTTTCTTTAACAACTTTTAAGTAATAATCTTTTTTGTTTGGCGTTCTGTTGAAAGTGCCTCTCTGATCAACTTTGTAGCTAACTATAACATCTCCTAAACAATAATTTGTAGTTTTCTTTTCGACGTTACAGTACTAGTTTATCTTACACTCAAGCTAGTGTTTTTTATAAGTTACCAATTGGAAGAAATTATATAAATATATATATATATATATATACATATATCCTGATTAAAACAGTACTGGGAGAGTTCTTGTTGGGGATTGATCCGGAGGAGAAAACCCGACATGGAGTCCAATAAGTAAGATAAGACCCATCTGAACTCAACTCAAGCTAATGGGTTATGAGACTACCTTACTTATTAACTTATTGACATGTCCTCATGCCTCCTCCGATGTGAGATTTATAATCCTTGCCACATGACTCTCAACAGTTCTCAACTAATCCGGATAAGTCGACCAGTGGATTCGAATACCGGGAGCTTAATATATACCGAATGAGGAAAAAGAAAAAGTTTAGAACAAATTCTTGTACTCTTACTAATTGGTAACAAATTCACCTTCTATGATCCTGTCGCTGCCTGTGAAAGACAAGTTCAGCTGAATCAACAACAACTTTTGGAAGTTCTGAACAGTTAAAATTATTCTATAAATTAAATTGATTGTGGTAAACCAATGATTAAGCCATCAGTCAATTCAAAATTAAATTGAAAATAATATCTATCAAAGCTAAGTTATGAGTCACATCTGATAACGTACTAATCAAAAGCAAAGGAAAGGTTAGTTACAGCATTCTGGTAAACCAATCAACGGTTAGTTACAGCATACGCCTGTCCTGCTCTGAAAGCTCTACTCCACCACAAACACGAAATAGTCAAATACTGGTTAGAGAATTGCACGTCATATTATTCCTTATTATTCCACACATACACACGAAGCAACAGCTTAAACAAGCAACAGGAAGTTGAAACTACAAGAAGGTGAACCATATTATTCCACGAATGGATTACCCAACTAAGACTATAAAATTCAACAACTTATAATTAGGTTCAAATGATCGCAAGGTGGACGAATCACTAGACTAATTTGCATCCATTTGACTCTTCAGTCACGCAGTGAAAATGTGCAATCGCTTGATTAAACTTGCCCGTACGAGTTTTTTGCTTCCTAAAAGTAAAACCAGAGAATATCGAGATATTCCTACGAATTGCTTTTAAGTTAAAGTAAAAAAGACCCGAAAAAACAAAAAAAAAAAACAAAAATTAATCATTAGTACAACCATTTTGTTCCGAAAACAAAAATCAATCCTTTGTTGCATTGGTATGAGTTCAACAAATATAAATATTTTGATAGGAAGCAGACAGTACACAAGTCATGAAGTTCGAAATCGGTGCCCAAGAAATCAAAATGGTTTTCACCCAAACAATTGCTTGTGTGAACATTTTCTAGTTTTCCATTGGTTTTGTTGTAGATGCAAGAAAATAAAGGAATGAGTCTTGTGGTTCCAGCTCTTCATGCTGCAAGGGAAGCGAATCGCAGGAATAGAATCGCAGGAATCAATCAGTTCTCTTGCTTGTCTGAACGGGCATCTTCCGCAACGCAAGCACCATTGATTGTCGATAGTCAAGGTTCTCACAACCCACCATTGGCACCATCTCTAGCAATGCCGAGAGAGACTGCTTTAACAACCAAATTTTCAGCTTCTCGTTGACTTATCCCTTCCTTCCATTCTTTGTTGAAAAACCCATAAAGTACGTCGACCCCGAACCTCCAATTCTGAAAGACTGTTCAATAAGTGTTCCACTATGTGGTATATCATATATCTTCCCACCTTCATACTTGTCCCATCCACCAACTATCATTCCAGCTTGTAACATGTTATTGTTATTGTAGGCGATCGATCTCACGAGATTCGCCATGACATTGACCGTCACAGGTTGTCCGAGCTGTATTATATGTTGATCAAGATACAGTCGAACATAATCCAAATGATCTGCGAATCGGTCGCCGATCCAGAGCCACAAATGTACACATTATCTGTTAGTTGTGTAATTTTGTTTGAAGCCCTGTTGGTGGCGTACATACCAGGGCTTGTCCATGAATCTGCTCTGAGCACAACTCCGCCGCTGTAACTAGGTAACTCCGATAATGGTAGTTCCCGTGTATACAGGTGAACTGGAACCAAAGGTTGCGTCCATTTGGTGACTTTTGGGCGTTTGAGATAAGTCAAAGTTGCTCGTCTACTGCTTGCTTTTTACTTCTAATCCTTGTAAACCTAATTTGATTGCTTTCTGGTCGACTTGAAATTGAGTACTTATATGCTTGTACGTTCGACTGAAAGTCTTCCAATTACTGAAAGGAATTTAACACTTTCTATAACCTAACCTAGACGCGGCCTGCTATTTCTTCTCCTTCGTGGATTTGGAAGATGAAAATCCTGGTTGCGGCTTAACAGAAGGAAGGCATATATATGAACAAATTAACGCCTATAGGCTACAAGAGCAGCATTATATTGACATAAACTATATATCCATATTGGCTTCTTTTTTCCTTCGTCATTTTCTCCTTTATTGGGTTGTAATGTTGATAAAGTACAATTATTTATGCTAAAGTAGTTGTGGTATGTTGGTTAGGACTCGTTTATCTTTAACTATAAGTAGGGGTTAGAAAACTGTCAATTGCGTCGACTAACTTTTAAATTCTTTGACTAGATGTCTCACCAATTGAGATTCCTACCCTTTACCAAGTGAGATTAGTAGTTGGAGTGGTTACAAACACAATATACAGTAGAACTTCTTTAAATTATAGTGGTGGAACTACCAAAATTTATTAAGTTAGAGAATCATCACTAATCGATAAACTAATAAATTATTTAATTTAAATAGATTCGCTAAGGAAAAAAGAACCCTTACTAAATTGTCAAATTTTCTGTTATCTTTATCATCCGAATAAAACAAGTATTCAAACATTTCTTGATACAAAATCCATTTATATTTTATATCAACTTCAAGAACTAAAAAGAAGAATTAATAGTTCGTTGTTTAATAAATATTTATAATTATTATGATTATTTTTTTATTTAGGGGAAGTATTAATTTTATAGTATTGTTGGGACCAATAAATGTATAGAGCTATTTTTGAAATATTGTTATCTTATTATTTTATTAATTTTGCTCATTTCTTATACTGATCCCAAGTTCAGAATGGAGAAATTATTAAATAGTCGAAGTTATTAATTTAGAGATTATTTATTTAGTGACTTTTTACACATATATATTGAAAAATTCTGGTGCCCAGTTATTCTACTTTGATTGAATCATTCAGTAAAATTAAATTTAATTATAATTGACATGTCAAAAGTGATTATAGGTGTAGAGTATTCTAGTATATGCATATTTAATAGGTAACCTGCTAATCAGGTGCGCTACTAAGATAGATATTAAATTAACTATTTACATATATTTTTTTGTAAAACCTGTAAATTGCATTACTTAGAATAAAAAACATTTAAGTAAAAGATTCCTACCAAAATTGCTATATTTACAACACATTTACACATTGCACTCCCCTTCTGTGAAATAAAAATAGACAGCAAGTTGAATTCCATCTCCTTTAGCCCATATTACAGCAAACTTTGGATAATGCCTTGTTTTTTTTTTCTGACAACTTCCTCATGAAACAGTTTTGTATCTTGACCCTGGTCACCCTTTGCACCTCTTGAAACATCAACTCTGCATTCCTTGTTTCCTTTCTGAATGTTCTTTCCTTTCTCTCCTCCCAGATTCTATAAATACTGGCCATCATAGCAGCATGCAGGATCTTTTTTTTTTAGCTTAGTTCTGCTCCATTTGTGCAAAAGTTTATTCTTCCATCTTCCTGCCTGGGTTGACAATCTAGTCAATCCAAGCCATCTCTGAACCATCCCAAGCAACTCACTAGCGAGCTTGCATTTGAAGAACATGTGGTCAATGAATTCTAACTGTTCTTTACATAAGCAACATATTGGATCCTCCACATGAACATTAACCTGAGCAAGACGATCCTTAGTCCAAATCCTTCCTTTCAAGACCAACCAAGCAATGAAAGAATGTTTGGGCACATTAAGTTTAGACAAAATGATCTTTGTAGCAGGCATTCTATTTCCTCCTCCCTGCAACCATTGGTATCCGGATTTCACTGTATAAAGTCCCTTGCTGTTTCCTTTGCCAACCTCACCATCAAACCCATACCTTGCTCTGTCTCTTAATTTAAGTATCTGTTTCCATGATCACCTGTTATCATTTTTGGCTTCTATATCCCAATATATATATATATATATATATACATATACTTGAGAGTTATCATATAAAATACACATTTGCAATAATACACTTCAATAATTTATATAAAAAGCTTTCATCGAGACTTCATATCATTTAAACTTTAAGTAAATAACATTTAAAATTGTCTGTGCAATGCACGTGCATCGTACGTCAGTGTAATAACAGTGAAAATCTAAATTGAGCAAATATTTTAGAGCACGGATGTATTCTTTTTGTATGCTCCCTCTATAACCTTAATTAGGAAAATAATCTTCCATTAAAAATTTGCATGTTTGCATGATGTAGTTATATTGGAGTCTACAATATGATAGCGTATGTATGATATGACATGCATATCAATTTTGGTAACCTGATAATCTAGAAAGATTATGTACTGAGTAGTCAAATTTGAGGTTATAGCATTAGAAAGATTATGAATTCAAGTTAGAGTATATAATGCAAAGCATCATTTACACATCGAACATGGTAAGCTGATATATAATAATACGACACAGATCAGACAATGCAGAGTACCATGCATATGCTCCCTCTATAACCCTAATCAGGAAAATAATCATCCATTCAACTATGTGTGGTTTGTATGCTTCGCATGTAGTTAGATTTGAGTTGACAACATGATACGACGTGTATGATACGACATACATATCAGTTTTGGTAACCTGATAATCTAGAAAGATTATGTACTGACTAGTCAAATTTGAGCCTATAGCAGTAGAAAGATTATGTAGTCAAATTTGGGTATATAACCAAAAACAATATTTACACAGCCATCGTGGTAATCTGATAATAGTACGACACAGATCAGACAATATAGAGTATGATGCATATCTGACTTTAAAATCATTCCTCGAGACTTCATATCATTTAAACTTTAAGAAACTAATATTTAGAACCGGTCGTGCAATGCACGTGCATTGTACGTTTTACTAAAAGTAAAAATCTGAATTGAACAATTATTTCGGAACAAAGATGTATTATTTTGTGTATGCTCTACAACCCTGATTATGAAATACTCTTCCATTACACTATACGTGTTTTGTATGCTCGACATGTAGTCAAATTTGAGTTTACTATGTAATACGGTGCGTATGATGCGACTCGCATATTTATTTTGGTAATATGATAATCTGGAAAGATTATTTAGTGAGAAGCCAAATTAGAGCCTATAATAGTAAAAAGGTTATGTAGTCAAATTTGAGTATATATACAGAACAATATTTATACAGCGATTGTGGTAATCGGATAATAGTACGACACATGTCTGGCAATGTAAAATACGATAAATACCTAAAATATAGGCGCATATAATATGACACGTGTGTCAATTTTGGTAATCTAATAGTGTAGAAAGATTATTTAGTGAGTAGTCAAATTTGAGCCTTTAACAGTTGAAAGACAAATTTAAATTCATAACAGAGTATATCGCATATATAGCGATTTTGGCAATGTGATGATGTAAAATGATCGTGGTAGTTTTGGCCATGCTTCTATTCACACCATAAGTAACAGATCTCAAAGATCAAAAGAACTCATCCCCTGATTTATCCTCCCCGATGGTTTTAACAATGATGAAAGATATGCAACTGAGCATATCATTCATGCACACGGAAACGTGCGCCTTCAACGAATGAACCAAGAAATAATACAACTAGAAAAGTAATTCGAAGCAGCGAGGAAAAGCGGAGAAGCGCTGGAGAGAGACATGAAGGAGGACCCAGGAAAGCAGCGGTGGCAGAGGCCTACTGAAGAGCTTGTTGCAAAACATCTTATGATTCATGCTAACACTTTAGAGGGACTCATGAAGAAAGTTAAAAGGATTTAAGTTCGTTTTCCACTGAGGGAGTGGTGCTCCTTTTACGGATCTCATTGGAGTTAATGATGTTTCGTATTGCCATTAATGTTGATTATTTCGCCAATCAATTTGGTGAGAGTGCTGACAGTGGACAAGTTCTCAGCTGTCACCGCCACCTATCTATTACTGACAGTGCTAGTGACGTGCAAGAGGAGATTGATCTGAATCGTTTTGTGTCACCATCTAGATCTGATAATTTTGAAAAGGTTGATGATGATAAGAAACTTGTTCGGGATCATCAGTTTATTCAAGTTTATCTAAGCAGCGGTAGAGGGAAAGGGGGACTAGCCAATGCGGCTGCGCCCCCTCTGATTTTTTTTTTTTTTTTTTGAAGTTATGAATGGTTAGGTTGAAAAAGATATATATAATGTGAGTTTTGCACCCCTTTGGTTTATTTTTAATAATATCTATAACAAGTAAAATATTTTTTTTTTGAATCCAAAATATATTTTACGCGTCGTGATATATTTTTTTGTTAATAAAAAATTAACATAGAAAAAGTTTGTCAAAAAACATTTAAATATGCTTTGTGATTTTTTTAAATTTTTAAATGACCAAGAAGAATATGATAGTCACTATAATTGAATTAGGGTTCTTTGTAAGAAAAATATTAATAACAAAAATCATAACTTACATTCAAGCGCAAATGAAACTACTAAAATCGACTATCCCAAATTATAAATTGGTTGGCTCAACTTTGCGTTTTCTTGTTCCTTGAAACAAACTATGTTGAGCCCTTTTTTTCTTACTTCTAGTTCTGCCAATGCTAATTGCGACAAGCTAAGAAATTAAAATTTTATGCTTTTAACTTGTTAAATTTTGAATTTTATTTGATATTATCCAATTGATGATTAAATACATATGTATTCGTAAATATAATTTTTTGAACACTAATATATGTATATATATATATATAGGTGTGTGTGTGTGTGTGTGTGTGTGTGTGCGTGTGTGTTCTTGTTTGAAACTACACACTAAATATTAATGTAAAACTTTGTAAATTTTAGTATTATCTTGATGGTACATGGTATTTTTTATTTGTAAAATATGAGTAACATATCCATTAAAAATAAAGTTGAAATCTTTAATAATATAATTTTTAGCTGTAAAAAATGAATGAAATATTAATGAAACAAAAACTAGTTAAGTTGATATACAAGTTATTTCAATGAGAAAAAAAATGATACTTTGACCTTTTTTAATACTTAAATTTTTTAGCAACTAATACACTTGTTCCGATAATATCATTTCGCACCTCCTGAGGTGAAATGTTGGCTCCGCCATTGTATCCAAGATATAATAATGGTCTGGTAGTCTCTCTGATATTTTCATAATTCATTAATGTTGTGTCGCTCTTTTTTGCTTTTGTTTGGTTTTGTTTCAGTTGTGACATTTCCCTTTTTCATTGTTATTTATCAAGGGAAAAGCCTAATACAATTAGACATATAGGGTCTTTTTCCTTCCATAGGGAGTAGATTTGTGGTGATTAGTAGTACTCCCTCCGTTTCAAAATAAGTGGAGAAATTTCAAAATAAATGTCATTCTCACATTTCAATGCACTTTTTGTCCAAAGTTTTCAAAATTACCCTCAAAAGAATAAATATTATTGGTGGACATTTTTTTAATGGGGTTAGTTGAGGATATTCAAGTAATTTTATTACCCTATTTAAGAGTTTCTTAAACTATGTGCAAAATGTAGAATGACACTTATTTTGGAATGGAGGGAGTATCGTTTTAAGTTACGGTGGCTTTAATAAGTAATAATTATTTTTCGGAAATGGAAATTTTTCATCATCGTTGATATAAACTTTCACTTAAAACATTTAATTCTTGGAAAACTACTTAAAATTTGTCACTAACAAAATTTTGTCACAAATTTTCCGTTATAAGATGAAGCAAATTTGTTCTGGTTTTGTTCATTTACAGTTTACGTCACTATTCCATTAATTAATGACGGCGGATGGGTCATCTAAGAGATTGACGTGCCTTTTCCCAACCAGGCATGCAACCGCCACTACTTCTTTCGTAGCATTTCTAATTGATCTTTTAATTAAGAAAATATATACGCTTTTATTAATATCAAAGTTTTTGACCATTATGGTTTTCTGGCTTAAACTTCAATCAGACTCAATAAGGTCATGGTTTCAGTCGACCAAACCGCTGAAAAAATGGTCAGCAAGGGTGGACAATTCAGACTATTATAAATTAATATATCAATTGTTTAGACAGGTTGACTACAGCCATACTTTAAATAATATTGAAACCTAATTTCTAATAATAGGAAATTGATAAAATAATTTGGTGGTCTCTTGTTTTCAAGTATTAATCAATCTCCATGAATGGATTACCCAACTCTCCAATTCAACAACTTAGCTTTAAATGATTGCGAGGTGGACGTATGACAAGACCACTACTTTGTATCCATTTGACTCGTCGGTCACGCACTGCAAATGTGCAATCGCTTGATTAAACTCGGCCGTACGAGTTTTTTTGCAATGGTTTAAGTTCAAAAAATATAAATCTTTTGATGGGAAGCAGAGAGTGCATAAGTCATGAAGTTTGAAATCGGTGCCCAGAAAATCAAAAAGGATTTCACCCAAACTATTGCTTGTGTGACCATTTTCTAGTTTTATATTGGTTTTGGTTGAGATTGAAGAAAATCAAGTAATGAGTCCTGTGGTTCCAGCTCTTCCTGCCACAAGGGAAGCAAATCGCCGAAATAGAATTTTCTCGTCGCCCCTTGAGAGTTTATAGTCACATTCTGCACAATCCCACCACTGGCGCCATCTCTAGCAATGGCAAGAGAGACTGCTTTAACAACCAGTTCCTCGGTTTCATGTTGACTCATCCCTTCCTTCCATTCTTTGTCGAAAAACCCATACAAGTACGTCGACCCTGAACCTCCAATACTTAAAAGACTATTCAATAAGTGTTCCTCCAAGTGGTACGCCATATATCTTCCCACCTTCATATTTGTCCCATCCACCAACTATCATTTCAGCTTGTAATATCCTTTTGTTATTGTAGGCTATCAACCTCACGAGATTCGCCGTGACTTTAACAGTCGCAGATTGCCCGAGTTGTATTCGTATGTTGATCAAGATATAGTCGAACATAATCTGAAATGATCAGCGAATCAGCTGCCGATTAAGACCGACAAACGTACACGTTATCTGTGAGTTGTGTAATTTTGTCTGAAGCCCTGTTGGTGACATATATACCAGTGCTGGTCCGTGATTTTGCTCTGAGCACAACTCCGCCGTTGTAGGTAACTCTCGTAGTTCCCGTGGATACTGGTGAAATAGAACCAAAGGTCGTGTCCATTTGGTGAATTTTGGGCATTTGAGTTGAGTCACAGTTGCTCGTCTACTGCTTGCTTTTTACTTCTAATCCTTGTAAACCTAATTTCATTGCTTTCTGGTCCACTTGAAATTGAGTGCTTAGATGCTTGTACATCGACTGAAAGTCTTCCAATTACTGACAGGAATTTAACACTTTCTAACAGCTAACCTAGACGCGGCCTGCTATTTCTTCTCCTTCGTGGATTTGGAAGATGAAAATCCTGGTTGCGGCTTAATAGAAGGAAGGCATATATATGAACAAATTAATGCCCATAGGTGTGACAAGATCAGCATTATATTGACATAATCTATATATCCATATTGGCTTCTTTTTTCCGATTTCATTTTCTCCTTTTTTGGGTTGTAATGTTGATAAAGTACAATTATTTATACTAAAGTATTGTGGTATGTTGGTTAGGACTCTTTTACCTTTAACTATAAGTAGGGGTTGGAAAACAGCCATTTGCATCGACTAACTTTTAAATTCTTTGACTAGATGTCTAACCAATTGAGATTCTTACCTTTAACAACTGAGATTAATAGTTGTTGTGGTTACAGACACATTATACAGTAAAACTTCTTTAAATCATAGATGTGGAACTACAAAAATTTATTAAGTTAGAGAATCATCAATAATCGATAAGTTAATAAATTATTTAATTTAAAGAGATACATTAAGGAAAAAAGAACCCTTACTAAATTGTTAATTTTCTATTATCTTTACTATCTGAATGAAGCAAGTATTCAAACATTTCTTGATCCTAAAATCCATTTATATTTTATATCAACTTCAAGAACTAAAAAGAAGAATTAATAGTTAGTCGTTTAATAAATATTTATAATTTATATTGTAATAAATATTAATTTGATAGTATTGTAATAAATATTGTAATAAATATAATTTATATTGTAATAAATATTTATATTATAATAAATATGATAATAGATTTATTTTGGGGAAGTATTGTCGGGACCAATAAATGTATAGAGATATTTTTGAAATATTATTATCTTATTATTTTATAAATTTTGCTCATTTCTTGTACTGATCCCAAGTTCGGAATGGAGAATTTATTAATTAGTACGAAGTTATTAATTTAGAGATTATTAATTTACTGACGTTTTACATATATATATATATATAGAAAAAGTTTTAGTGCCCAGTTATTCCATTTTGATTGAACCGTTCAGTAAAATTAAATCTAATTATAATTGACATCTCAAAAGTGATTATAGGTGTAGAATATTCTAGTATATGCATGCTTAATCGGTAACTTGCTAATCAGGTACTCTACTAAGATAGATATTTAATTTACTAATTACATAAATTTTTACTAATATATATATATATACATATATACTTGAGAGTTTTCATATAAAATATACATTTGCAATAAGACACTTGAATAATTTATATAAAAATCAAGACTTCATATCATTTAAACTTTAAGTAAATAACATTTAAAATTGTCTGTGCAATGCATGTGCATAGTACACCGTTGTACTAAAAGTGCAAATCTAAATTGAACAAATATTTCAGGGCATAGATGTATTATTGTTTGTATGCTCCCTCTATAACCTTTATTAGGAAAATAATCTTCCATTAAATTTGCATGTTTTGTATGATGTAGTTAGATTGGAGTCTACAATATGATATCGTGTGTGTGATATGACATGCATATCAATTTTGGTAACCTGATAATCTAAAAAGATTATGTACTGAGTAGTCAAATTGAGCTTATAGCATTAGAAAGATTATGTAGTCAAATTTGAATATATAATGCAAAGCATCATTTACACAACGAACATGATAAGCTGATATATAATAGTACGACACAGATAAGACAATGTAGAGTACCATACATATGCTCCCTCTATAACCCTAATTAGGAAAATAATCATCCATTCAACTATGTGTGGTTTGTATGCTTCGCATGTAGTTAGATTTGAGTTTACAATATGATACGGCGTGTATGATACGACATGCATATCGATTTTGGTAAGCTGATAATCTAGAAAGATGATGTAGTGAGTAGTCCAATTTGAGCATATCGCAGTAGAAAGATTATGTAGTCAAATTTGAGTATATGACGCAAAATAATATTTACACAGCGATCGTGGTAATCTGATAAGAGTACGACACAGATAAGACAATATAGAGTATGATGCATATTTTACTTTAAAATCATTCCTCGAGACTTCATATCATTTAAACTTTAAGAAACTAATATTTAAAACCAGTCGTGCAATGCACGTGCATAGTACGTTCTACTAAAAGTAAAAATCTAAATTGAACAATTATTTCGGAACAAAGATGCAATATTTTTTGTATACTCTATAACCCTAATTATGAAATTATCTTCCATTACACTATACGTGTTTTGTATGCATGACATGTAGTGAAATTTGAGTCTACTATATAATACGGCGCGTATGATACGACTTGCATATTGATTTTTGTAATATGATAATCTAGAAAGATTATGTGGTGAGAAGCCAAATTAGAGCCTATAATAGTAAAAAGATTTCATAGTCAAATAAAAAAAAGATTATCTAGTCAAATTTGAGTATATATACAGAACAGTATTTATACAGTAATTGTGGTAGTCGGATAATAGTTCGACACATGTTTGGCAATGTAGAGTATGATACATACCTGAGATATAGGCGCATATAATATGACACGTGTGTCAATTTCGGTAATCTAATAGTGTAGAAAGATTATTTAGTGAGTAGTTCAATTTGAGCCTTTAACAGTCGAAAGACAAATTTGAATTCATAATAAAGTATATTGCGTATATAACGATTTTGGCAATGTGATGATGTAAAAAGATCGTGGTAGTCTTCTTACTTATGAGTTGAATTAATTTCAATAATTTTGTAATCCAATTTACACATTCACAAGATACGCTAACTTTTAATACAAATATGGAGTTAGAATACTTGCATTTTCAAGAAGCATGGTCCTGAATTCATAGTATAGGAGCGAGGATGCGAACTATTATAATATGAACTAGTTTCAACGCGTTTAATTTACTTATTTATGCACGTTACATACAAAGGTCCATTTGATATTAAGAATTTTATTTCTAAATAATTGATTCCAAAATAATCGCATTTTGAATTTTCTATTGCGTATTTTTTTCTCTTTTTTTTTGGTCGAAAATAGTTTTAATTAGAAGGCTACGTATTTTTTTTTTCTTTTTTTTCTACCTTCAGAATAACACTAATATACTGTAATCATAAAGAGATACGATACTCTGAAGTAATAAATGTATAAATTGAAAGAATATGTAATAATCAACTCAAATAATATTCACACTCCCCAAGAAGGGAAAAAGAAAATCAAGTTCATAAATTTAATCGGTAAAACCATTTTCACATTACAAGATACGATTTTGATGATGGTAAGGAAGTTTTTCTTAACGCAGTTCAAAAATATCATTATCTAGGCCACTAAGTCACACACTGAGCTATCTATAAATTCGTCCATTCTCCATTAAATAAAAAACCATCGCTCCTTCCACACACATTTCCACTAAATTCCTATTGCAAGAAGGACCAGCCGAGGCCACCAAAAAATCGAAATGGTGAAGGTGAAAGATGAAAGCAACCTCCAAGTAACTTTTCTCCAATTGCTGATCCGACATTTTTATACAGGCCACGAACTCATCATCCTATGTGATGCAGAAGTAGCCCTGATTATTATCTCCCCTGGTCAAAGGGTTTACTCCTTTGGCCATGCTTCTATTCACACCATATGTAACAGATCTCAAAGATCAAAAGAACCCATCCCCTCATTTATCCTCCCTGATGGTTTTAACAACGATGAATGATATGCCACTAAGTGTATCATTCATGCACACGGAAACGTGCACCTTCAAAGAATGAACCAAGAAATAATGTAGCTAGAAAAGCAATTCGAAGCCGCAGGGAAAGCGAAGAAGCGCTGGAGAGATCCATGAAGGAGGACCCAGGGAAGCAGCAGTGGAAGAGGCCTATTGAAGAGCTTGTTGCAGGACAGCTTATGATTCATGCAAACACTTTAGAGGAACTCATGAAGAAACTTGAATTTGGGTTCTTTGTAAGAAAAATATTAATAACAAAAACCATAACTTAAATTAAAACGCAAATGAAAAAACTAAAATCAGCTATCCCAAATTATAAATTGGTTGGCTCAACTTTGCTTTTTTTTTTCCTTGAAACCAACTATGTTGAGCCCTTTTTTGCTTACTCCTAGTTCTGCCAATGCTAATTGCGACAAGCTAAGAAATTAAAATTTTATGCTTTTAACTTGTCAAATTTTGAATTTTATTTCATATCATTCGATTGATGATTAAATACATATGTATTCGTAAACATAATTTTCTGAACACTAATATATGTATTTATATATATATATATATATATATATATATGTTTGAAACTACACACTAAATATTAATGTAAAATGTTGTAAATTTTAGTATCATCTTGATGGTACATGATATTTTTTATTTGTAAAAATGAGTAACATATCTATTAAAAATAAAGTTAAAATCTTTAATAATATAATTTTAGTTGTAAAAACGGCATGAAATATTAATGAAACAAAACTAGTTAAGTTGATATACAAGTTATTTCAATGAGAAAAAAAATGATATTTTGACCTTTTTAATATTTAAATTTTTTAGCAACTAATACACTTGTTCCGATAATATCATTTTGCACCTCCTGAGGCTAAATGTTGGCTCCGCTATTGTATCCAAGATATGATGATGGCCTGGTAGTCTCTTTGATATTTTCATAATTCATTAATGTTGTGTCGCTCTTTTTTGTTTTTTGTTTCAGTTGTAACATTTCCTTTTTTCATGTTATTTCTCAAGGTAAAAGCCTAATACAATTAGACATAAAGGGTCTGGAGTAGATTTGTGATGATTAGTAGTATCGTTTTAAGTTATGGTGGCTTTAGTAAGTAATAATTATTTTTCGGAAATGAAAACTTTTCATCATAATAAATATATAAACTTTTATTTAAAACATTTAATTCTTGGAAAATTACTTAAAATTTGTCACTAAAAAAATTTTGTCACAAATTTTCCGTTACAAGATGAAGCAAAGTTTTGTTCTGGTTTTGTTCATTTACAGTTTGCGCAACTATTCCATTAATTAATGGCGGTAGATGGGTCATTCTAAGAGCTTGACCTATTGCCAGCAAGGCATGCAACCGCCGCTGCTTATTCCGTAGCTTCTTCCGTAGCATCACTAATTGATCTTTTGATTAAGAAAATATATACACTTTTAAATTAATAAAAAAAAAATTTTGACCATTATTGTTTCTGGCTGAAACTTCAATCAGACGGAATAAGGTCATGGTTTCAGTCGACCAAACCGTTGAAAAATGGTCAACAAGGATGGACGATTCAGACTATAATAAATTATTATGACAATTATTTAGACGGGTTGACTACGATCGAAAACCATGCTTTAAATAATATTGAAACCTAAGTTCTAATAATAGGAAATTGATAAAATAATTTGGTGGTCTCTTCTTTTCAAGTATTAGGTGGGCACCTTTTGCCTTGCTCAACTCACTGCTGAATTGATGATGACGAGTCTAATAGTTCCATTGTAAAGTTAAACAACTGAAAGGAACTTGCAAACAGTATCAATGATAACTGATAAGGGCCTTAAACTGAATGGAACTCAACAGAATTAAGACTAAGATTTCTTGTTCAATCTATGGTTTGTAGGTTAGTTTTCAAATTTAGGTTGCAGATTTGGATCACAAAATAAATTATACTTGCTTCGAGAAGATATTATACTCTATTACTTTAATCTTTTTTATTTCATTGTTTTAGCTTGTACAAGCAATTTTCTTTTTCTTTTTTTTTTTCCCTTTCGAGGGACGAAGTGAGCTTTTTCGTTTCGTCCTGTTGTAATGGAATGGCATAAAGTACAATCAATTTGTTATTAATTGATTAGTGAAAACTTCAATAGTAAACACTGCAAATATGAAAAAAAAGAAGTTATTTTTACGATTAGAAAATAATTACTCAAAATGATAACATTTCACAAAAAATAATAAGTAAATGTAATTGATTAGATACATGTTAAATATGTGTACAGTGTTATCATAAGTGAATAACCCATAAAGGTTAATGAAGATGTCAAAGAAAGAAAGATGTCTTTTGAAAATCAAAAAAAGAAAGCCGCACGTTGTAATTTGTAAAACAAACCAATGAGCATAAAATTGGTCGGTTCAATCCATGAGTTTGTGTCCCCCTTTTTCTAGTTAATTTACCCGCTTCCCACATTGCGTAGAATATCCTTTATTATTCTTTATTCGAGGCCAGACTTAACTCCCAGGAAACTACTACTACGTCATCAAGAATATGTTCCAAAAATTAATTGATTCCCCTATAAATTCAGCCATAGGAACTCCAATTCCATCCACAAACACACACATCAACATAACATATTTCAGAGTAATATTTTAATTAAAAGGAGATGGGAGTTGTGATAATCGACGGTTCAACGATACGTGACTTTGTGAGCAACGAAGCCGAATTCAACAAGAGCGCCGACGAGAAGTTCGCCGCCTTCGACCTAGATCACGACGGCGTTTTGTCGAGGTGGGAGCTGCGCAAGGCCTTGGAGTCTTTCCGGCTGCTCGAAACCCACTTTGGAGTGGACGTCGCAACCCCGCCTGAGGAGGTGGCGGAGCTTTACGACTCGATATTCGAGAAGTTTGACGGGGATCACAACGGGGAAGTCGACCTTGAGGAGTTCAGAGAGGAGATGAAGATGATAGCGTTAGCCATAGCTGATGGTATCGGGTCCAGCCCGATCCAAATGGCTCTTGAAGATGATGATTGCAGCTTCCTTAAGCTCGCTGTTGATCTTGAAGCTTCCAAGGTTTCCGCTGCCTAATCTATTATTGGCCAAGAATCTTTAATTTTTTTATTTTTATTTTTTTGAACAATTTTGGAGTTATCGTTTCGTTTGATGTTCGATTGGAAGTAGTCAAATTTCACAAAATGCGACTAATTTTGTAGCTACCTATACCATTGCTAAACAAATGATTTGTAGTTTTCCTGACGACATATGTCATTCTTTGTCTTCGCATAATGCGAAATTCAGATTCAGTATTTTTGAGCCAAACAGATAGAGATAATAATCTTATTTTCTGTATGAAGAACACGGGTATACGTTGTATAGAGACAGCTGATGGAGTTAGTTTGTCGTACATGCATTCAAGGTTTCATCACAATAATACAAACACTTTGGTTAAAACAGTTTTGGGAGAGTTTTGCTTCTCAACTCAAATCCGGATAAACCGAGCGGTGGATTCAGATGCCGGGAGCCTAACATACCAAATCAAGAAGAGGAAAAAGTCAGGAACAAATTCTCTTTAATTACTATTCGTAATAAATTTTCCTTCCCTGGTCTTGTTGCTGCCTTTAATGGAACTCATGCAACTTGTGGAGAGTTTAAAATTTTGTCAAAATGACAGCGGTAGAACAATTAATGATGATTAAGACATCCGTCAAATTAACACTGAATTGTTAAGATTATTGGTTAACGTATTTAGTTAGGCCAGAGAAAATATTGCCAGGACAATTTTTAGCATCCAGAGTTATTTTTCCAAAATTGCCCTCATATGAAAGGTCAAGTATCTTATCTCCTTTTATCACACATCGTTAACTACTTTCTATTATATAATTCATTATGAAAAAAATTTCAAACCAATATCTCTGATGTACCCTTTACTCCTACTCCGTACCTTTCTCGACAAAACTCCATCCACAAGTCCTTAGTTGTGGTTCTTGGAAGAAAAATTAGCTGTGCTCTGGGAATATACTATTTTTACATATAGAAAGTATAGTGAGGTTATTTGTTTTAACCTTTTCTGTCTATCTGGTATGAAACAAAAGGTGTAGTGATAATTTGATTTCTCAACCACTAGATGTGAAAGAAATTGATTTTTGTTTGTTTAGAACTAGGATGTTAAGATTACTATTAATACTCTTTGAATTTGCATAATTCTTTGACTGTGTTGTTCTTCATCATTTCATCTCTGATTTGGTTGTTGGAGGGGTCGAGAAATTTTATAATGTAACAATGAGAGAAACATGAACTTGAGCCTTCTTAAAAATAGAGCAACAACAGCGAATAATTGGTGTTGATGTTTAAAGCTCTTCTTCTTCATCCTCCTGTTCTCCCCAGAAAGTCCACCAAAATCCAGAACATCCTAACCCGCTTTAATCAAATTCAGAACTTCTGGAAGAACAAGTAATTAAAATGCACTCCAATGTCCGACGAAATGCCCCAATGACAATATCACCATCATCATGGGAAAATAGGCCCTATAAAGTATACCGAATGGGACAGTAATATATTTAGATGAACAGGACACTTTCCTTGTTCCTTGATTCTTATAATCCTGCTTTTATCTTTGGAAGGAGATTGAAGAAAGATTGATGAGAGGCAACATCGATCGCTCACAATAATAAATCTTGGGCTTTTATAAGACATGGAAAACAGCAAGGAAACGAAAGATGTCCTAAGTTAATCACTTTACATCAGCTTCAGATCGGTAGGAAAGAGGTATTAAGTGAGAGGGAGTCGATGAAGAAAACCAATCCAGATTAAGTCAATAAGAAATTAATTTTTTTAAGTAAGTGAGTAACCCGTAAGATGGAGAAGAAAGAATAACAGTTGACCCCTTTGAGGGCAATTTTGGGAAAATAAGAAAAAATTGCCCTGAATGCTAAAAATTGCCCCGGCATTATCGCTTCACTTAAGAATCGCACGTAGTAACATACAACTCCCTCCATTTTAATTCAATAGTCTTATTTAGATAAACACGCACATTAAGATCTGAATGTGGCACAATCGGCTGCTGCTCTGACGCCTTTCGAGAGGAACCCGCCATCGGCCTCGCACTCCACTGCCCGATTTTTGGATCTGGCAGTCCCAGTCGTCGGCCATTGATCCAAACGACGTGTCCCTAGCCCGTATCTCCATCGTTGCAAAGCGACATCACCGAATCTGTTGAGGGTCGCAGATTTGTCTTCAGATCTGAAGAACAGTTGCCGTCCCGCATGGCCGACCAGATTGACGATGCCGCTGCCATTGCTGACGGAAGAAGCCTGATGCGCTGAAGTCGGCCGTTCATCCGATTTTCATAGACATGATTCAATATAGAACCAGCCACCCTCAGTTCAGTTGACAGTAGCAAACCGGTCCCTATTGGTTTGTTGGTATCCTTTCAAATAAAACAAATCGAATTATACTGTTATTTATATGTCTGTTTTATTGCGGTAACTTAAGAGTTATATTTTGGTGATCCTGTTAGGGACAACAGTTTCTGTTTTTCTGTATATCACTCACTGATCTGGATACTCTATATGCCCACCTACGTGGCAGTTCAGATATGTGATCTTAGAGAAGCGAATCACGATGACTGGAAAAAAGTTTGTTGGTTTCTATACTAGAGTTACTGGAAACATAGTTTTGACGGAACTGCCAAAAACGACATCATATGTAACTAGTATATTTTTGATTAGGTTGCTTTCGAAAATATCAGTATAGTTACTGATATTTAAAAGTTCCGTCATCATATGATAGACTCTCAATTGTACAGGGCAAGTTTTAAGCACTGCCCTGTAAATTTTTTACTTTATCTATAAATTCGCCAGGTACCATCCTGGTTTTAATTTTTTTAAAAAAACGCACACATTAAGAAAACGTGGATAATATAATTTAAATTTTAAATGATTACTACCTCCATTTACTCTATCTGTTGATTTAGAGTGAACTCAAAACCTTTTTTTCTATGCCGTGTTTCATTTTCAATATATTATTAAATACAAATTTTTTACTTTCAACCTTATCTCTTTCTATTTTTAATAACATATATTAATGACAACTACCTATTTTTTACACCCAAATTTTAAAATTTTGTAAAGTTCCAATACTTTTAGTAGTGGCAAGAAAGACATTATACTTAAAAATGAAAGTATAAATCATTGTTTTGTTAATAGTTGTGAAAACTATAAAGCGACAGATAAAAGTAAACAAAGGTATTAGTTTGTAAGTAATTCACCTAATATGTCCCTATTAATGATTAGTGTTTGCTAATAAATATGGTGAGGTTAGGAGTTACATTCAATTAAATGTTCTAAATTTTTCAGTGATAGTAGTAGAGTACATTAGAGAATTCATAGATAAAATTTTTATGAATGTTGGAAGTGAGACTGAATTTTGAAAAATTCTAAAAAGAAAAGTATCTCTATTAATTGAATTAAAATAGAGGAGTAAATAATAACAAAGGGGGTGGAAGGTATATATGACCTTCGAAAACAACATGCGCCAGTCCTGTTCTGACATTTCTAGCTACTCCACCAACACATGCACCAAATAGTCAAATACTGGACGAAGAATTACAGCGATGATAATTGGTAGAAAGTTAATACATATGCCATTTACGACATTTTTGTTGCTCGTTGCTTCTTAATACAACAGACACGCAACAAAGCAATTGTTTTAACAAGCAACATGAAGTATGAACTACGTGAAGGTGAACCATATAATTACTCAAATCTTCATGAATGGATTACCCAACTCAATTGTCAAATTCAGCAACTTAGGTTTAAGTGATGACAAGGCGGACGAATCACTAGTCCACTACTTTGCATCATTTGACTAATTAATCACGCAGTGCAACTGCTTCATTAACCTCCCCAATAAGAGTTTTTAGCTTTCTAGTGAAAACAAATAATCTAGATTTCCCTATGCACCAAGTGTTGTAAGTTAAGCAAAAATAAATAAATAAATAAAAATTGATCATTCGAACCTTTTTCCTAGAAAACAAAAATTATTTATTAGTTGCACTGTTTAAATTCAATGCAACATACTCTTATTATAGAACGAATGAAGTACGTATTCAGGGAATTGAATGACAGCCTAGTGGTTAGGTTGGTGTCTTTCCTGGTAATAGACCAGGATTCGATTTCCACCAGGGGTGGGGGTTTTACCAAAAAAAATAAAAATAAAGTACATACATGAAGTTTGAGATATATGCCCAAATAATCGAAATTCTTTTTTTGCAAACAATTGCTTGGTTTACAATTTTTAATTTCTCATTGATTTTGGAGCAAATGCAAGAAAATCAAGTAAAGAGTCATGCGGTTCCAGCTCTTCATGCCGCAAAGGAAGCGAATCGTCAAGATAGAATTCTCTTGTTTACCTTTGAGAATTGATAGTCACATTTTGCACAATCCCACCACTGGCACCATCTACCAACGGCAAGAGAGACTTCTTTGATAACCAGTTCCTGAGCTTCTTGTTGACTCACCTCTTCCTTCTATATTTGTTGAAAAACCCATACGAGTACATCGACCCTGAACTTCCAAACCTCCAATACTGGAAGGTTGTTCAATGAGTGTTCCTCCAAGTGGTACACCATATATCGTTCCACCTTCATATTTGTCCCATCCACTCTTGAGGGAACACCACATATCTTCCCACCTTCATATTTGTCCTTTCCAACAACTATTGTTCCAGCTTGTAACATGCTCTGGTTATTGAAGTGTGCAAGTCTTTTATTTTCTTTTGCTTGTCCCTCCACTCGGGCAAGATCTGGTACAAGATCCTGCTTGATCTGCAATCCATCACCTCTGCACAGTCGGATTCATTTTTTATCGATGATTATGGGGTAATGGAAACTGATAGCCTGATTACTTGTCCACCAGTCAAGAATCAATTTCCATGATCTATATAAACCAATCACGTTTCTCTTTTCCAATCAGTTACCATTCCTTTCAAATCTGATTATCATTGTTTCCCTATTATGGCATAGCAATGCAAAACTATGAGTAATACGATTTGAATTTGTGCAATGCATGCAAATAGGTTTATAGATAATACAAACCTCCATTTCTAATTATATGTCACCTTGTATTTGTAAAATTGTTGGGAACTAATTATTTTTCACTTAATTATCTATTAATACCTTATTTTGCTCCTACTTAAATGTATTTTTATTGAGAAGAAAAATATAATAAACTCAACTATTTATGAAAATAAACTTGTAAAAGGGGGAAAGATAAGAATATATTTGGAGAAAACACTAATTAGGCCATCAAAGTGTAGTAAAATCCATTTAAATTGATTTTTTTTGGCCCAAAATTTTATTTAGGATATATATTACTTTATCACTAAATTACGAATACAATGATATTTATCAATAAGTTAATGATTATTAATTTAAAGGGAGTTTTCAATTCTATTAGGAAAGCAAATTACTCTACATGCGAGAATAACTCAAAACCTTTCTCAATGCCATTAGAAAACCAGTAAGAAAATGTTCTTTGATATAATTTCAAGAGAAAACCAATATCCTTAGCCTCCTATTTCAATAATTGGCTTTTTGGTAAATATTAATTTATAAGATTCACGAATTCAATATTTATTATCTTGAATTTAAAGGAGTTTCCTAGAAGAATTTATTAT